GGGGGTGCTTTTCACTCCTCCTCATAGTTCTAGCCGATCTGTGACAATGAGACTGTCACAGGTCGGCTCAGTAGATCGGGAAGTGAGCGAACACATACCGGCGCTCGCTCACCTCTCGATCCCGTCACTGCAGAGAGCCGTGACAGGGGCTGGATTCCCCCCTGACTGGCGGAACGGACGGGGGAGGGGGCGGGTACAGCTGGCTCTGCCTCTAGATGGGCGGAGCCAGCTGTCAGTCACGCAGCTGGGCGGATCCAGACATAATTGTCGGGATCCGCTTCAGCGCCTCAGTATACCGCGAGCTGCAGCTCCCTATATACTGAGCCTAGGGTGACGGGAGGACGCTAGTTTGTGTTCTCCCCATACTTCCCCTTTAATGGGACTTCATCCCACGTCTGTATCCTTGAATGAGGAATCCCGTGGTGGAGCTGCGGATCGCCCTACATTCTGTTGCCGTCCATGATGATCTGCAGCTCTACAGCCGACTCCACCAGAAAAGGGACGGTCTGCAGACTTCATTATGGACCAGTCCATATGGGAAGGGCAGTGCAGTGCCTTAGTGGTTAGCACTTTAGCCTTGCAGCACTGGGGTCAGGGCACTATCTGCATGGAGTTTGCATGTTCTTCCTGTGCTTGTGTGGGTTTCCTCCGGGTACTCCGGTTGCCTCCCACACTCCAAAGACATGCTGGGAGGTTAATTGGCTCCTGTCTACATTGACCCTTGTAGGTGCGTGCAATAGGGACCTTAGATTGTAAGCTCCTGAAGGGTGGCAGGCACTGATGTGAATGTGCACGGTGTAAAGCACTGTGTAAACCGTCAGCTCTCTATAAATCCCAGCAATAAAAATGTTCTACAGCAGACTTCACCATGTGCCAAAAGAGAAGGGACTGCCTGCAGGTCTAAATCACACTTCATTATGGACTGGCAGCAGTCCCATGTGGGATGTTCTACAGCAGACTTCATCGTGGACTGCCCCGGGGCACGGGGCGGGCCTCTATGCGGCATGAAAATCAATCAATCGAAGCTTCCCTTACCTTGATGATCTCCACCAGCTGGTCCACTCCGCTGTCGCCGGGGAAGATTGGCTGACCCAGGAGCAGCTCGGCCAGAACGCAGCCCGCTGACCAGACATCTGGAGGAGAGAGAGAGAGAGAGAGAGATGGGTGATGAGTATCGTGCGGGGTACCAGCTGAG